CGCCCGCCCGCGGAGCCGCGCAGCATGGCGGTGCTCAAGCTGGCCGACCAGGTGGGCGATGCGCCGCGCGGCGAGGCCGCGGCCGCGGGCAGCAAACAGGGCCGCGCGTTCCCCGCTCCTCTCCTCCTCCGCGCGCCGCCTCGTTGTCCCCCCGCGGGCCCCGCCGCCCCGCTGTCAGCCCGTGCCTGCGCGCGGGGAGGCGGCGGTGCGCCGGCTTGCGCTGTGCTTGGTTTTTATTATTGCTGGGGGAAAACCCGCGGCGAGGCGGGCGCCGCTTCCCGCAGGCTCCGCGGGGCCCCCGGCAGCGGCGCCCGGGCCCCCGGCGGCCTCGGGCGGGCAGCGGCAGCGCGGGGGACATGCGGAGGCAGCGGCGGCCCCGAGGAGCCCAGCCGCCCCTCGGCGCCCTCCTCCTCGCCCCAGAGCCTTCCTCGGGCCGGGCCGGGGGTCGGCAGACGTCGGTGGTAACGGGCGGCGTTTCTGGACGCGGCGCCCGTGAGCGTGGCGGGTAACGCGCCTCGCGTGACGGGGTTCGCCTTAGCGCTTTGAGCGGGGTCTGCGTGCTCGAATATCAACTGCAGGCGTTGTTGTTAAAACTACGTGTGCTCTCCAACACCAAGATCGCGGCCTTTGGGCCCTCTTCTTATTTGTCCTCTCGTGATGCCCCTCAGGGCCGAGGGACGGGCCCCTTGCAGAGCTCTCTGCAGCGTGTCCCCCCTGCGCTGTGCTGCCCGCAGGGCCGAGGCGCAGCGTGAGCCGGGATGCGGCTCCCGTTGCCCGTCAAAGGATAATCAACCTCCTGTGGCGTCCCAGTTTCCTCGCCAGGTCTTCGTCCGTGTCAGAGAGGCCGCCGGAGCGATGGGTGCGCCTGAAGGTGGTGGATTCTGCTGGGACGCGGGGCCCGGTGGCTCCGCTGCTCCCCGCCGGCTCCAGTCCAGGTGGTGACACTCCGCAGAGCTCGGCTCTCGCACAGGGAGCGCTTCCTTGCTTGCAGCCGCGGTTTCTGTGGCACGTGCGTCCCCTGGATCCACGGTCCCCTCGGCTGGCGAGGAGAGGATTGTGCAAGGGAAGGCTAGAGAGCCTGGAGATAAAAGTTTAAATGTGCGTTTCTCCGGGCAAGTTTTATTTGCAGGTGCTTCTCAGACAACGGAGCTCGCTTCAAGGCTTTAGGATTCGTGATTTTGTTCGTGTAGGTGGCCTGAATTCATTTCCAAGTGATTGTAGTTGCTACCTCATCCGTTGCGTCCCAGGAAACCCTCTTAACCACAGGAAGTGACTTTCTGCCATCATTCATTTCTGAGTGAATTTCTTCCTTGCCTTTCTTTCTTTGGTCGCCACTGGTTTTGAATGAACAAATGCTAAACCAAGAGCAACCTAAAATAAAATGATAAAAAAACTAAATGCTTAGGATTGTAAGCTTTGTGAGTAGCAGTGTGTCAGTGCAGTTGTAAAGCTTTTAATATTCTAAATAGTCCAGCCATCATTATAAAAGTATAACAAAATACCTTCTAGACCTTAATACTTTTATGCATTTGTTCTATTTGGCCTCTATGTAGTGAATGTTGATTGCAGCAGGCGTGAGAATTGCTTTGGCCTCTAAGGATTGGCATTTTTAGTTATGTTCTAAAAATTATTGCTCTTTTGTTAATATTTTTGGCTTTGGTAAGTTTTAATGTTTTTTGAGAGTGTCATTGGATACGATAAAGGCTTTTGCATATAAACCAGAGTCCTGAATGAGCAGAGGTGAGTGCTTCAACAAGGGGGGAGCTTTAGACTTTCAGACGTGTTTCATTCATGAGCCTGTACAGAGGGACACGAGAAGGGGTTTCCGTGCCCCTCGCGGACACTGCTTGAGGAAACCTGCTTGCTTCAGTTCTTCATTTGCTCCTGTGCTCTGCGTTGCCGTTTCCTCCTCGCGAGGCTCCTTTCCCCTCCACCAGAATGGTCTCAGGGTGGACGCACCCCTCAGCTGCTTTTGGAGCATATAGGGCTGCGCTGTGGCTTGGGGAAGATGTGGTTTTATTTTCCAGGCTCTCCCCTGGGCAGCTGGAGCATGGAGGGTGCTTCCCACCAGCTGTCCGCGCTTCTTTGCATGCCGTATTTTCAGGAACTTGCCTTTGCCCTGGGTTTGTGTGTTTGCCTTCTGCTGACTCTGAAGGGCAGGTTTATTAGTTGAAGTTTTTGCAAGCTTTAAATGGTGCAGAAGCGTCGGTGGAGATCTAGGCAGTGCGCTACTGAGAGGATAAAATCCCATGCCGTATTTCTCTCGCTTGTGGAAGTTCACCTGCCTTTTTGAAAACTATTTTGCAAGAAACGAATTTCTGTGGGCGCCGCGTCTCGTTTCCGCGCTCGCCCTACCCATTGAGGCCCTTCCTGGCGGCTGCCCTGGTAGTTACGGACTTGCCCCTGTGTCGGAAGCGGGTGCAGTCCCTTGCGAAGCGCCCTTGTGTCCTGCGCTGTTGGGGACAGGGACACTTGTGCCCCTCGTTGTGGCCGGGTGGGCGCCTGCCGGGCCCGGCCGCCCCGCAGAGACATCCTGTTTGCTGCTGTCTTTCGGCAGCTGATGCAAGCTCTTCTGCGCCTGATTGCTGATTGTAGTTACACGTGTTTACATGGAGATGCGTCCTGCTGCCTTGGGAAGGCGCTGAGAACGGTTTCTGTAAACAAAAACAGTGCAAGAAGTTGCAGAAGGGTAAAGCCTCTGTAGTTGTGTTTTCGGAGCTGTGTCACATAGCGCCTTTACTCCCTAGGTGCTGAAGCCAATGGAAAGCTGCTTGTAGGCTTGAGGCAGGTGCAGGCTCTGGGTGGTCTTGACCAAATACCAGATTTTCTGTGACTTCAGTGCCACTAACTCTGGCCTGTTTGGGCAAAACAACAGAAATATGTCTAGGTTGCCCCTATAAACACACATAAGCACGCACAGGGTAATGAAGCCCAGGGAAGCTGTTAGTGTGTGCACCTAGGCCACTATTAAGTTGAAAACCTCATCCTGTCTCCTGGTATTTTGCTTGTTGTTGATTGCTACGAGTAATGTAGTGTGACTGGAACTGAAAGGACGATTTCTTTCTCTCCCTCCTTCTCCGCAACATTTCCTGTGTTTGACAGGTCTCCGCTGACCATCAGTTTCATTTTGATTATGGTCACAGAGAACCACTGTTACACAGATGTTTAAAAATTTTAAACAGATGTTAAAAATCATGAAAATTGGCAGGGCAAAGGCTGGACTCACAACTGAATAGACTTAAGAACAAAATGAGCACAACAGTAACAAATCTCCTCCTAACAAAACTGATAAAACTGATTAAATTTCCAAATGTTGACCTTTCCTTATTTGAAAATCGTTCAGTTGACAAGATTATTTTTCTGCATCTTACTTGGGCGGGTGGAGTTACTTGAGATGTGGTTCCTGAACTTGTATAAACCAGGGGTAATGAACCTGTGTCTTACAGCCCCGTTCTGCTGGGTGGTTAATTTTGTGTGGCAGGAGGTCCCTTGATTCCTCCCCTCCTCGCACTGTTGCTGGGTGGTACTGGGGTGTCTGTTAATGGGCACCCAGCTGACTGTGAAGGGGCTCTTTGACCCACAGCAAGGAAGAGATAATCCGTCCAGGTGCGAAAAACGTAGCCAGAACCCAACAGTAACGCTTGTGAAGGATGAACTTGCATGTGTGTTTATCCCTTCATTCTTGTGAAATAGGAAAAAAAAAAAAAAGACAAGAAATAAAAGGAGGAAAAAACCTGCACCGTGGCAGGCATTGCTTCTTAGAGCCACGATGGGCCTTGGCGTGGCATGTTGCAAGGTAAGGGTCCATGCATTTTTAGAGGATTTTTTAAATAATATTTTTAAAAATAATGTACTGTCATTTCTTGCCTTGTTCATAGCAGCTGGATTGACTGTCCCTGATGTGGATGGCAGCTGGGAGCTGGCACATGTCCTCACCTGGTCCTGGTCCGGGCAGGAAAAAAAGTAGTTCAGAGCGCTCAAAGTGAGCGAGATGCAGATTTCAAAAGAAAATTTCATGCTTTTTTTGGTCATGGTTTAGGCAGCAAGTATCACTTTTTTGTCCAGCCAGCTTGTTTGAGAGTAAGCAAGATACACTTCAATCCAGAGGGTGTTTTCAGAGGCCTTTAGTATGCTCAAATATTTCATAAATTGTTCTTTAAGTGAGAAATCCTGCAGAGGTTTTACTGTCTTGTAATATTTTAAGCGTTTTGTAGTGGTTGCACTTGAATTCCCAGACTATTTTTGAGGATATACATGTGCACACACACATCATGTTAGGATATTAGAGTTGCCTGGCTTGCAGATGGCATCCAGTAAAATGTGTCCCACGTATGCACTCGAGGCGAGGTATTTTATGCTGACCTGAGGTGTGGCATCCTCCTGCTCACTTTTTCAAGGAAGGTGTTGGTGGTTGTGACTCCATTTAATAGGGAAACACATCCCGGGCACTCCTCCTTCCGCAAGGATTCGTCTTATCGGGATGGTGTGGATGCTTTTATGGAGATATTTATCAAGGCTTCTCCCCAAGGCAGGTTCTCCTCAACACCTGCGTGGATGCTGCAGGTCAGGGGCTGTCCGGGGGGATATCCCCAAAAATAAGCACAGGGCAACTTGGGGGTTTGTTTTTGGAAGCACCCGTTCCAACGGGCTGGGAATGTCACTAAGGCCACTGTGCGCCTGCAGGAGCCAGACCATCCACACACAATGTTTTGTTGTGTTTTTTTCCCTCTATGCCCTCCGACATCTATGTTTAAGCCTTATGCCTCAGCGCAAAAACGTTGCATTTTGAGCTGTGTTTTTAAATTAGTATATTTTTTTTCCCCTCTAACATTTGTCGCCTATTTTTTATTAGCTGCAAGGCACGGACTGTAAAGTTCCCACAGCTGTTGGTTGTGGCTTAAAATATGTTTTAACTGCTGCACTTGAAACATGTTGTGACTTGTAGGAGCCCTTCAGCTTGGTGGAGGGTGGGAATAGGAATTTCAAAGCGTTACAAAATTACATTGGAAGGGGGGAAATGTATTTTGCAGTTTTAGCCAGGGGTTTGAGGT